ATTCTTGACTGGCAACTCTATTGCCAGCGCATTAGCATCACCTGGAGTCGACCTGTCGGATCTCTGTTACAGGGATGCCTCAGCATGCCGAAAGGACTGCCCATTACGCTATAGACGTCGACTTTCGATGAAGCGAGGTTATGTGCCCGCTGGCCACCATATGAACCAGCCCGAACGACTGGCAGAGCGTCAGACGAGGCCCTCACTCAACTCATCATTTTCCGTCTTCGACACACATTGGCAAACCTCCAATGTCGCATTATGTACTGCGTCTTGACATCCGCGTAAATGGGCAAGAGGCTTAGATATGTGGCCTTGCTGCCGGACTGAAAGGGGCCTCAGCTGGCTGGTGAATAATACTCCCGAGGGACGTGCCAACACCCGCCCACCGGTACCGTGGAATACCAACCACCTTGGACGGCTCAGCACCATCACACTGTCCGGCGAGACATTCCACCGCCCATCAAGTGGGCTGTGCAGGGTCCGATCCAGGTTTTGAGTGCCACCTTGGGCGTTGTTGGACGTCGGTCATTTTGATCTCTATTTCGTTGTATGAGGTCGCCAAGCCTCAGTGTCAGGTAGGCTGCGCACACCTGATCCAAACATGAGCAGCTGCGCCGACATCACGAAAACGACACTTCAGCGCTGAATGACGAGAACATGCACCAGGGCTCTTGGGGGTGACATTAACTATTGGCCTCCCGCTGCCGCCGCTTAAGGCGCCTTCGGCCTCTAACCCCATTCATGAGCCCCCCACACCACGGTAATGGATCCAGAGCTTTTGACGGTGAAGCGGTGGTCACGCAGTCCTCTCTGGCGACCAGCCGTTCCTGGCGCACACAGAACGCTGTGCTCTTCCGACGCATCCGTCAGCCCTGACTGGCCTTTGTCCCCAGATCGGCCTGACGAGCGAAAGTTGCATGGCAAGCAGTTCTGAAACAGCAGAGTCAGGGATCCCACTCGTATCAACTTTGTTTTGCTGTGCATAGGACAGGTATGCTGGATTCGGCATGCAAGCGCTGGCGAGCCGCCGGCGTTTTCCCTGTCGTGCCCCATCCAAGCCAAAGACTTTTTGTCGTCGTCCTCTCCACAGGCGTCGCGGCCTGTCACGACGGGTCTCAAGCCCCTGTCCTGTCCCAAAAGGCATCCTCAGGGTCTCCCCACTTATGCCTCATCTGTGTGAGCATACTGAAGGTCTTCGCGGGTGTCGGCAACTTCGGGCGGCCCCAGCAAGGACCCTGGGACTCAACCTGGACAGGCTGAGGGGTAAATCTCCCAGTGTGGCCATCAACCCCGCGCCGGGGTGAGTGACCTCTCCTGGCCATCGCCGGCTCCTCGAGATCCAACGACTGGCCACCCGTGTCAGTTGATCGTGCAGTACAAAAAAGCAAAGCGACATGGTCAGGTACGGTCTAGCAAGGCGCGAGTCGCGCACGTGGCCGTAATGGTCTCGCACCATCCATGCATCGTCATTTCGGCCAGAGCGATAGGAAACATGAGCCTAAGATGCTTTAGGTTGAGGCCATGGACGCTTTACAGGCTGTGGTCTCTGTCCAGCCGTCATGTTGCTGGATGCCGTCTTGCAGACATGAAGACATGTTTGTCCCTTGCAGCGTCCGCAAGCCGCTGGGCTCCAGAGCCTAGGTAGGCGACGCTAGGGTCGATAGGCTGGGCTCGTCTAAGGGCCTGGAACCGCTGACGTGATGCTGCTTGGCGCACCTTTGTGCATGTTGAAGCACACAGCTTCCACGCTTCATGCTCTGGGCTACCATGCTTCTGACTGAGCATGAAAATGGCAGGAAGCATATGCGTATGGCTTCGCGGCAGGATGAAGTAACGACTGTCAGTAATGATGGACAGGTCCTGTAAATGCCGACGCAGATCATATGGAATTCGCTGAATTCGCCGGCAATGGACAGTCGAATTTCCCGCTGGTACTCATCGAAAATGGTCGTCGGTACTGGAGGTTGGGGAAGGTACTGGACACGCCGACACTGTCAGACCAGGCGCTGTCTTGTATTGACGTCACAGCCGAGCCCAGTAATCGGGTTTCGGGTTGCTTGGCTTGTCGAACGGGATATTGCCTTTTATGACGACGTCACCTTGACATGTTCACCCGCAGCTGGTTCACCCAGACACACCGCCTCCCTGGGCCGCGTCAAGTAGCCAGACGCTTAATCCAGGTTGCGGCACCAGGCCCATCAAAGCAACTAGTGCACAGGCGTGAAATGAAAGAAGACGAGGCCTGTGGCTATGGTTGGTGTTGGGTTGTTTTAGTTCCAGCTAGGCATGGGTGCAAAGACGACGACGTAAGCTGCGGCGATCGTTGAATCCCTGCCTGACAGCTTATGAGGTTTGCCTGCTGTTGGATTTAGCTTTAGCATCCTGCAGAGGTAGGCTTAAGGCCATGTAGCCGACCGCCGCGCTGCGATCGGTGGCACGGTATGCGGCACAGTCAATCTGCCGTGTCGATCGCAATGGCTGATCATCGGGCCTGTTGGTGAAGGGAGATGCCTCAAGGGCGGCGAGGGAGAATGATATAGGACTGAAGGGGGGAAAAGAAAATGGTCGGAAGGAGACCGCCAGAAGAAATCTGTGAAATGCCCAGAGTACCACTGTTACCTCGCGTGTGGTCGTTCCCAAGGAGAAGCATGTTGACACACATAATCTGTTGTTGCGGCAAACTCATGACGCTCCAATGGCCCGAACCAAAGATGGGGTACCCAGCTCGCAGCATCCTTCAGTGGGCTGTTAGGGGGCCATCTCACTGAAAGGCCTGGAGACTGGGGCACTGAAGGCCCTATCCATGTCCCGTAATTTGATGCAACGCGCTATCACGTGCAGTCACTCGATGGCCCATTCAAGCTCAACAGTTGTTCGCGATTTTCCGGCCGGAAGGACCAGGGAAAGCCAGGCTCAATAGTCGCCCGCGACAGCGTAAGTGCACCCTTGTACTATCCCGCTTCCTTCCAATTACCTTATCTGATCGAGAGAAGGCAGCACCCTTCGCACGTCACAAAGACGGCAACCGACAGCAGGGCCCAGTGATCCGGGACTGTTGCGATCCAGCATCGCATCAGGCGCCGAATCTCACCTTGGATCGTGGTGATGAGACCATTCGGTCCGTCGTTGGCATCCATTACAGCATCTGCGCGGCGACTCCGACAGCCACCGAGGCGTCCAAGGGCCCCTCTGGCGAGGGCGAAAGCCTTCTCAACGACATCACGACTGCGCTCCGAAGAACAACGAGGCCCCGCGATCCCGAGCCTTCCCTATCGGTTCGAGACGGGCATTGCTCTTTTCGCCAAGCAAGCGCCACGGCCATTTCCGCCTCCTTTCCTCTCACGACCGTCAAACTCCTTCTCTGATGCGCTAAGCACCCACGACCACAGCCGCGACCGTCGCGCGCGCGTCAACGGCGAGATTATTCTAGGCAAGACAAATGGCGACGACGCCGTGTATGCCAGCGACTACTTCATTTGCGCGAATGACGGCGTGGGCGCCTGGTCGACACGACCGCGAGGCCACGCAGGGTATGCCGCTTCCAGATCCCACTTTTGTGCTCCCCATCCATATTGACTTGAATCCAACAGGCTCTGGTCACGACTCATCCTGCATTTCTGGGCCTCGGCCCTCCGAGACGACCTGGCCAAGCTACAGTCGGCGGAGGACAAGTATGAGCCCAATCCGGTCGCGTTCTTGCAGCAAGCCTACGACAGCACGATAAAGGCGACGGCCGAACCGGCAAACTGGCAGGGAACAACGACCGCTAGCGGGCGCGCAGCTTCACTTCAAGACCCTGGAAGACGGAAAGACAAACCCCGTGGTGTACGTCACGAACCTGGGTGACTGCCAGGTCATGGTGCTTCGGCCCAAGGACGAAAAGGTCATCTACAAGACGAAGGAGCAGTGGCACTGGTTCGACTGCCCGCGCCAGCTTGGAACCAACAGCCCCGACACGCCTGAGAAGAACGCGGTCATGGACAAGGTCGAGGTGCGCGTGGGAGATGTTGTCCTTGCGATGAGCGACGGTGTGATCGATAACATGTGGGAGCACGAGATTGTTCACAGCGTACGAAACAGTCTGGAGAGGTGGGAAAATGGCGAGGGCGGCAAGGTCGAGGGCGATAGGACCGATGGCGCAAATGGCGGCATGAAGTTTGCTGCCGAAGAGCTGGTCACGGCGGCGAAAGTCGTAGCCCTCGATCCCTTTGCGGAAAGTCCATTTATGGAGCATGCAATTGAGGAGGGCTTGGCCAGCACAGGAGGTCGGTTTATCCTGTACCGTTTTATTTGCTGCAACTAACCCCCTCGCAGGCAAGCTTGACGACATCAGTGTAGTGGCGGCACTCGTCACGGATAATGAAACATATCACAAGGTATAGTGATGGCACGGGGTCGCATGTAAGGAAGCGATTTGGCCGCACACTACGGCTAGGGGAATGGCGTTTGGCTCATTTATGTAACAACTCGAGGGGAGAGCAAATACCTGTCCAGGGTCTCTGAGGGCATTCCAAGTTTCGTTGCCCCAATCTTCGATTTTCCTTGTCATTCAAACACTAGACTTTTCGCACAGCAGTGCATTGTAGGTCACCAGCAAAATGCAATTCTCGAATCACATATATGCGTAGTTGCTTGTCCCGTTCCATTCGAGGCGTGGAGGGGTACTAGTTATGGAGGGGTAGAATCAGCCTTTGACGTCTTGGCCCGTTGTCAAAGCGCTTATCTTATCGCGCCAAAGAAAAAAAGTTCGCCCCGCGACATCCAGCCTTCAAGACCCAAGCGCCAGTCCCGCTGCCCAGCTCCGAGCAACTCGACCCGTCAATCACATCACCGACAGACACAGCGAGCGCCCACAGCCCGCCCCCCTACTCGCTCAAGATGCGCGGAAAACGAAGCAAGCAGTATCGCAAGCTGATGACCCAGTACTCGCAGATCTGGGGCTTCCGCGAACCGTACCAATGCCTGATCGACGCCGAAATGGTCATTGACTGTCACAAGTTCAAGTACGACCTTGTCGCAGGCTTGAAGAGGACGCTGCACGGCGAGGTGAAGCCCAGTAAGTCAAAACATTCGTTCGCCCTCAGGCTGGCGCCGTTACAGAGAACCCCCTCCTGGGACTGACCGTGGGTTGCAGTGATCTCGCAATGCGAAATTCGCAAGCTCTACCTGCGCAAGGCGGAGCCTGAGATGAATACGATCATCGAGTTCGCCAAGACGCTCGAGCGACGACGCTGCGGCCACTTGCCGGAGGACTATCCCGAGCCGCTGCCGACGAACGAGTGCTTCAAGGCTGTGGTCGATCCGAAGGGTAACAATGTCAATAAGCACAAGCTCGTCGTGGTGTGTCAGGACGACGAGGTGCGACGGATGCTGCGGTCGATTCCCGGCGTGCCGCAGATCTACATCAAGCGCAGCGTCATGATTCTCGAGCCGATGGCGAGCGAGAGCGCGGAGATCAGAGCGCGAGAGGAGAAGAGCAAATACAGGGCGGGGCTCAAGGGGTCTGCGCCGCCCGGCGCGAAGAGGAAGAGGGAGGCGGACGACGAGGGTGATCAGGACGGCGACGGCAAGGAGGCGAAGGACAGCGATGCGACGGACGCCAAAAAGAAGAAGAAGAAGGCGTACGGCAAGAAGGAGCCCAACCCACTGGCTGTCAAGAAGGCCAAGGACGCGAGCAAGAACGCAAAGCAGGGATCAGAACCTGAAAAGAAGAAGCGCAAGAGGAAGCACAAAGCGCCAGCTGGCGAGGGACAAGCTGGCGAGAATGGTGAGGCAGCGACACCGGCCCCAGCACCCGTGAAGGAAGAGGCATGAGCAGGTGTGTGGTGATCTGGTCTTGGTGTGTTCCTTTGGTTAGGCGTTCAGTGGCATTCAGGTTGAGCTCATAGCCCGGAAAAGCTGTAAGATACCATGATATTGAGCATGATTGTTACACACTGCATGGATACGTTGTCGGCCACTTGTCTGTCTGGTGTCTGTCTGTCTAGCCAGACTCTATTTCTCCTACATTTATTTGCCTGCACATGTTCCAGCACCATCCCAAAAATCAGTCTCCAGCACGTGTCAGGGGCCACAGGTGGAACAGGAGAAGGAAGTACTCTCTCTGATTTCGAGGATGAACATGTGAGCTGATACTGAGGATCCCAATGTCTTGCTTCTCTCGGGTGGCTCGATGCTCTCGTGTGACGCGCTGTCGACGTTCCTCAACCGAGTCAGATGACGCTGGTTCGAGGCGGTACTTCCCATCTGCTCCCACAGCGGAGGCCTAGTCTCAGGCCTGTGCTTGACCCTCCTCGACCCTCAAAGTGGCACTCGCTCAGGCAACGGTTCCGGGCCCCACTTGCAGAGGGATGTCACCAACATGGTGGAGGTTGACAGGGAACGATCGCCCTGGCTTATTACTGAATTTACTCGTGGCCCAGCATTCCGGCAACGACGTGCCTTCTCAACGACAGGGGTCTGCCAAATGCGGTGGGCAGAGACCATCGCACATTGCTGCACATTGCACATTGCACATCCCACCTCCTGATCTCTGCCTCAATTGTCCAGAACGAAGCCTGTAATCATTTAGACTCCTACTCATCCACACACGACCCCCGCGCAACACGCCAGCGCTACTGATCTTGCATCTGTCAACGTCTCACGCCAGCGGGGGGAGCTTCTCGATAGGCGACACGCGGCCCGACCGCCGACACTTCCGTCCCCCGGACCTCCGACCATACGAGTCCCAACGAAGAGATCGATCTTCGACCACGACTCACCTTCCAATACCCTTGGGGCCCCTCAGCTGTGAAGACAGTTGCCTCCTTCCAACATGGCGGGCCCTGCCGAATCCGACAGTCCTACCTCGCACAAACCGACCACCGAGAACCAGCCAAGCCCTAAGCAGCAAGAGAAGGTCGGCGAAGCGGCCTCCAAGCCTTCGCATGCAGCCCCTCCGGTAGCCGAGCCAGTCGAGCTTGACGACTTTGGCCTGCCTGTTAAGAAATACATCGCGCCGACAATCATGCCCGACGAGACATCCAACGATGCGTCCCTGGCGAAGCCGAACGAACCTGAGACACTGCCGAACGGCAAGGCGCCAGTGGTTTCCGCAAAGCCACCTGCCGCAGCGCAGTCGAGCACTGAAGCCTCGGACGATGATGACGAGTTCAAGGATGCAAACTCGAGGGTCGCAACCCCGCAGCCGCAGGTTTCTGTCAAAGAAGTGACGTTCGAAAAGGGGGCCGCTGCACCAACGCCTCACGTCACAAAACCTGCCGTCGCCGACGTTCACACCACGGCGGGTGATGCCTCGCCTACTTCCGCTGCCCGTGAAGCCGACGCCAGCGCATTACCGGTCGAAAAAGAAGCTGAACAAGTCAGCACAAAACTAGCATCAACAGGCGCCAAGACCCAGGTCGTGGAGACCACCGACAGCAAGACAACTCCCAGAGCACAGGATGCTGCGAGTCACACCCCGGAAACGACAGCTGCCGAAGCGAAAGCTGGCCCCGTGGCTCAAAGCAGTGCGCCGGCTGCATCAGATTCTGCCCCTCCGACATCCGCAGCAACCCAGCACGCCCGGAATGTCAGCAGTTCTAGTGCTGCAAAGGGACACGAGAGAAACACAAGCGCAGCAGGACCGGGTATTGCCGGATTTTCGCATCACCAGGCAACAACCAAGGAGGAGGATAAGGAGGATGACAAAGAGGAAGACCTGGGTTGGCAAGAGATGCCGTCCTATGCGCCGTACGACATTTATGACGACGATAATAAACTTGTTGCCAAGGAGCACACCGAGGAGGAAGAGGCGAAGGAAGCATACGGCTATGGTGGTCTCGGCGGTGCGGGTAGGGGCTACACCCGAGTCATCATGGATGATGATGCGGAATCTGCGACCAGCATGGACGACAACACAAAGTATCTGTTCAAGGAGGTCAACGGCACGAGCTTGACGGAGGAACAGGACGAGCAACGCGATGCCGTCTCCCAGATGCAGGCGACGAAGGACCTCCTCACCGAAGGACAACGCGTGGCCTACGTGGGCCTGGTGCGCATCGAGATATTCCAGCTCGTCAGGGCGGCGGAGACCATTGAGCAGACCAGGAGTTCCAAGAAATGGGTGACATTGGGAGCCGAGGCAACCAAAATGTGGGGGCAGAAGATGATGATTCGGGTGTATGCGCACATGGACATCAGCGCCGCCGAGCAGGTCATGGTGGAGCAGCTTGCTGATCACGGCGTGATTCCATCCGACTTGACGCCCGTTTTGATGGCAAACGCCCGGGTCAAGAATCCCATGGCAGGCAAGACGGAGAGCACAGTCACAACGCCAGCAGACCCGAATCGAAGCTCCATGTCTTTGTCGGCTCCGAAAGACGCTCTCAAATCGCCAACCTCCCCCAGGAGTCCTGCTCCGCCAGCTTCACCTATCTCGCCAGAGGATGAAGAGGTTGCGGAGCCCCCGCCGCCATACGAGGCTCATCCCGACGGCGAGATGCCCGACGTGAAGATTCCCTCGGATCTCCCATCTAGCGAGAATCTCGAAATCGATTTGCGCTGGACAGTCCTGTGCGATCTGTTCCTCATTCTGATCGCAGACTCGAGCTACGACGCCCGATCCCGCGTCCTGCTGGAGCGTGTCGGTAAGAGTCTGCAGATCGACTGGCTCGAAATTCGCAAGTTTGAAAAGCGCGTCACAGACGCTCTGGAGATGCAGCAGCAAGCCGAAAAGGAAAATTGGAACGAGGAAGACCACCTAGAGGTGCGCAGAAAAGACGCTCTGAAGAAACGCTACGTGATGATGGGCTTGGCGACGGTAGGCGGCGGCCTCGTCATTGGCCTATCGGCAGGCATCCTCGCCCCCATGATTGGAGTCGGCCTTGCCGCCGGTCTCACGACGATTGGAATCGGTGGCACGGCGCCCTTCCTCGGCGGCATCGGTGGAGCTGCCATCATCACGACGGCTGCCGCCAGTTCTGGTGGCATCGTGGGCGTTCGGGCGGCGAACCGAAGAACTGGTGCCGTCAAGACGTTTGAGTATCGGCCCCTCCACAACAACAAGCGTGTCAACCTTATTGTCACCGTTTCCGGGTGGATGACGGGCAAGGTGGATGACGTCCGTCTGCCGTTCAGCACTGTCGACCCCATCATGGGTGATCTGTATTCGGTGCTGTGGGAGCCCGAGATGTTGAGGAGTACCGGTGACACAATCAACATTCTCGCCACCGAGGTCAGTCAATGCTCACGTTTTTATTTATTTATTCATGCACATTGCTAACCAGGACCAAAGGCTCTCACGTCAGGTGTACAGCAGGTACTCGCAAACACCCTGCTCACGGCTCTCATGTCCGCCCTGCAGCTGCCGGTCATCCTCACCAAGCTGGCCTACCTCATCGACAACCCATGGGCTGTATCACTTGACAGGGCGTGGTCGGCAGGTCTCATCCTGGCCGATTCACTGATCGACAGGAATCTGGGCACACGGCCCATCACCCTCGTGGGATATTCCATCGGTGCCCGTGTCATCTTTTCCTGCCTGCAGGAGCTTGCCCGGCGTGGTGCGTACGGCCTCGTGCAGAATGTCTACATGTTCGGTTCGCCGGTCATCGTCAAGAAGGACGAGTTCATCCGCGCAAAGTCAGTCGTCCCCGGTCGCTTCGTCAACGGATACAACCGCAACGACTGGATCCTGGGCTATCTGTTCCGTCTCACCCACGGCGGCATCCGACGCGTGGCTGGGTTGGCGGCCGTGGAAGACTGCCCCTGGTGTGAAAATATGGACGTCACGGACCTCGTCAAGGGCCACATGGAGTACCGCAAGATGATGCCACGCCTGCTGCGAGAGTGCGGCTGGCTCGTGGAGAGCGATGAGTTCACGGAGATTGAGGACCCGGACCCGGAAAACCACGGACAGCGACAGCGCGAGCTGATCAACGAGATCGAGGAGGCGCGCAAGGAGCTCGAGAGGGAGGGTCAGCAGGCTAAGAAAAGTAGGTTCTCCATCTTTGGGCGCAAGAAGAAGATGGAGAAGGCCAACTGGGAGATCTACGAGGATTCAAACAAGGCAGGCGGGTCGGCAAGCAAGACAGAGGTCGAGGGCAGAGATGGGCAGGAGGGCAGCAACCACGGCGTCCTCTTTGACGTGGATGCGATCCGGGCTGAGCTCGCCAAGGAGGAGATGCAGGTCAAGGAGCTCCAGTCGACGCTGCCGCCGATGAAGCTCGACCTCAGCGCGTCCCCGAACCCGCGGGACAGCCTGCGGGGCACCAGGAGCGCCGACGCGTCGTCGCTCAGCCTGCGACCGTCGCACGACACGCGACGCGTCTCGGAGGATCCGTCGCCGCTCGGCTCGAGCCGCGGGCGCATTGCGTCGTCTTACTACACGGACCCGGACCCTACCGGGAGGATGAGGTGTCCATGACGTTCGACACGTCCTTTGACGACCCGCCGCCACGACCACCGCCGCCACCAAAGGACGACCCGCCGCCGACGAGGCCAGAGTACAAGTCTGCGCAGACGGTGCCTAACATGACACTGAACGACCCTTGGGCCGACCCCGATGACGAAGACTTTGGCAAGGAGAAGGAGATGACCATGACGTTCGCATAGTGCGCACCATGGCGTTGGATGATTTGTGTTGCTTTTGAAGACGCGGGGCTCTCTTTTTCCGTCCTCTCTTTCTCTGTCTCTGACAAAGACGGGGGGGCAGAGGCTATTTTGGGACTTGAACGCATACAACGACGACTAGGCCTATTTGTTTGTAATAGTGTACGCAGGATGGCGTTCGCGGCGGTTGCTGAGGCAGTAGAGAGGGGCAGGGGAAGAGGGAGACAAAAGAAAGGCGTCGTGACGACAGCCTTTCCTTGCTGCAGTGATCCCAAGGCAGAGTTTTGGGTTCAACGCAGCTGTACGATACCAGGCGAGTAATGAAACGGGTGCCCAAGTTTGATCAGGCAGAGAAACGAGTCTAGAGAAACCGAGTCGACGTGACGGCTAGACGGGTGGTTTCATGGGGCCGACGATCAGAGTAAGACGGCGTGATCCATTGGCGGCGTGGTGTTGGGGGCTGCTGCAGAAGTCGCTGTGGAACCCGGACGGGCAGGTTTGCTGCAGGTTGGGCGGGCGCATGTTCTGGGCGTGTCGCTGGATGACAGCTTATGTGCGTCAAGTTTTGTTGGGGGCGTCTTTGCCCGTGCTCTGGGTATGTGACAGGTACAAGCCATTGGGGCGTAGTGTGGAAAATCCATTCATCCATTTTCCCAAGAGTAGTTTTTTTTTTTTTTTTTTTTTTTGTTTGGGGATGCTCTGTGTTCAAACCTTGCATAACCCCATCAAGCAGACCGAACAACATGGTCAGACAAGAGCCTGTCGTCGAAGTCGTCGAAGTTGTAGAAGGCGGATCAGCCGCAGAGCCACTAGAGGGTGGGGTCCAGGCCTGAAGGGGGTTAGGCGCCGACGCAAATAGCAGCGCACTGCCCCTTCCTGCTGACGGGATGGGGCAGAGCCTGGCAGAGACGGGGCGGGAAGGTGGGTGGGACTCGGAACAGCCCTGTGGCGGGCCAGGGTCGTTGCTGGCTCCGGGCGGTGGGTTGGCATGACCGCCTCATCGCCGCCGGCTTTTGGCGTATCGCCAGACCTCATCTCGATTCGGTGATGGACGATGGAGGGGGTGGCTTTTCTCCTGGTGGTATTTTTCATGAGGTGTCTCTAAACAAGCAATGATCATGACACAGACACGCGGCTGCGCCGACCCCCAGGGCAAGAGAGCCACAGGCAGCCTGGCGCGGCAGGAGGACCCCTGGATCTCGGGAAGCAACTGGATGAGTGGGCCCCACACTACTGTGCATGGTAGTGCGGCGTGCAGGAGCTGGCCACGGCATTGGCATGGGCTTTCCACGACATGTCAACTGCCAAGGCACTGCTCTGGCTGTTGGCTGTTGGCCGTTGGCTGGGTTGGGCCGTTGGCGACGGGCCTTGTGCTGCTATGCCTTTGCTTCCCGCCTTTGCTGCCATGAAAGGGCTCCCATATTCTTCGACACAGGACAAAAGAACTCGTTTCGTTCTGGTAGTCTCTCATCTGGCCCGGCGAGCAGGCCTCTCATCCTGCCGTGCACCGACACTATTTCCAAGCACCGACACAACGAGCCAAGGATCGCAGCTCAGCTTTGGCTGTCTACACCACCCTGCCTTCGCCTCCCTAGTGCATCCTCAGCTCTCCAAGCCTTTCCACTTGCCGTTGAGCGCAGATCCCCGGCCTGTTCATGTGCGTGCACGTCTTCACCAATCCCATTCCACTCAACCCACCCCACCACAGTCTTGTCAGGCGAGTTGATCTGTGAGACGACACCTTTCACCTGCAGGCCGCGGATCCTGCCTTGTCCTACCCAATGTACTGACAGCACCCGGCGCAGTCGTCAATGTTGCGCACAACGCGACCTAGGTTACCAAAGCTCTTCGTCCCCCTCATCATCTCGCTTTTCTGGCTTCTCACCCTTGCCCTCCTCAGAAAGACGCCTTTGAAGAGGCTACGGATTGCCTTTCCTTTTCAGCCCCTCTCTGCGCAAGAATAGCATAGGGTATCGGATTCCAGGCTCAAAAGCAGCGTCGGTCTGCAGTCGGAGGAGATCACGGGCAGCCACAAGCCGTTGACGATCCAGCTGCCCGCCATGGGAGACATCAGAGAGCCGACACCAGATTTGGACCGAGGCGTCACAAATCCAACAACGAGCATAGTCAACGAAGCGGCGACCAACCGGCCTGTGAATTTCCCTGGAAACCCTCCGCAGGCTACTGCGACTGTGTCTTCCACTACAAGCAGTTCAACTGCACAACCGACCGGGAAGAACATGGCCATACAGTGGGATTTTGATTGGAACATGGCCCGGTCGTTTCCTGTCCTCGTTGCCGGAGACACTGGCGCGGTGCCTCACACTATTAACGCGCTGTTAATGAGCGATCTGGTCATAGAGAAGGGCGAGTGGTCTTATAAGCAAGCGAAGGACACAGAAGTGATCCTTGTCACCACTTCTGCGCAGAGCAATCAAGTACCGAACTCTGGCGACACGGGAGAGACTCGAGTTCGCCAGACCAATGACCGTTCCCTTGAGAGTAGGTGGTCGTTGTTCCCGTTGCTTGTGGCCGTCATGTGCTGATCAACCTCCAGTAAGCCCAAGCTTAACTGTGCTTCCGCTTGACATCTTAGAGCTCTCCGGGGTGCCATATGGCTCGGAGATGCGCCTCAACCTGACCTGGCTGTATAACGGCGAAACCGGCTGGAGCAGATCGGGCATTTTCACCGTCGTGGAACCGGCCGGAGAACCAGAAAAGCGCGAGGAGTTGGAGCGTATTGGGTTTGAGACGGAACAGGACCTCCCACGTGAAGTCTCTCGCATCCTCAATGGCGGCAGCAACGTCATCCCATTGGACCCATCAAACACTGACCTCACTTCGGCTCCGTCAACGACAGGCATCGCGTCTTCTACAGACGACGACGCCGATTTGGACCATGACAACGATGGAGGAGGGCTCTCTATCGGTGCCAAAGCTGGCATCGGCGCTGGTGCTGGCGTCGTGGGTCTGGCCCTCATCATCGCGCTCCTCTGGTTTTTCTGCCTACGAAACCGCCACAAGAAGAAGGGCCATGTCAGCAAGAATCCATACAGCACCGAAGGTCACGTCTCTGAGTACATGGTCAACAAGGAGACCACCGGCGCTCGCGTGACCGAGTCACCTCACTCGCCTTACTCGGACGATGGCAGTCTTGCGCAGCAGCAGCAGCAGATTCAGAACCAGACGGCAAGCTCCTCGCCACGCGAGACAACCGCATTCGTCACCAGTGCGGCAGCTGCGCCCAGCTCGTCCAGGCACAACCTTGAGCGTCAGAGCGAGGGGCGGGATCGTGGCCTTTCCGAGGCAACGCCGCTAGCGGCGTCAACGCCACGCAGCGACTCGCAGCAGCAGCAACAGCACGAATCGGCAAGACCAGGAGCGCGGTCCGCGACCCCTCAGGGCGTCAACTCAAACGTATCGCACCTCATCGAGGATGGCATGACGGAAGATGAGATTCGGCGACTGGAGGACGAGGAGCGGCAGCTGGATGCGGCGATTGAGCAGCACGGGCACGGCCGGCGCCTGGCATGATGACGCAGAGGAGGTGTGAAGTGTGCGGCGCTGGGAGTCCATTGAGCATGTCCAACTTGATGTATGTCGGCCGAAGGCAGGGTTGATTGGGTAGCAGATGATTGTAATGAGGCAACTTGATGTATATGGATCAGCCTTCCGGGTCACATCTCGCTTGTCACGGGTGGTTTCTGTCACCGACTCGGTCGAAAATGGAACAGGAGTCCCCTGGCCCAACAACGTCGAATGTGAACGAAACCTTGAACCATGCATCGCGCGTACACGCCTCCTACCTAGTATACAACGGGTATCGACGCCCTACGAACTCCACCCTGTTTCGACGGAGATGTTTTCGTCCTCGGCTGAAGAAAAACCAGTCCGTTCTCTTCCTATTCATTTTGTAAAGACACGGACGCTCAACAGAAGGGGGGGGGGGGCCACAACGGAGCGGTTTCTGACCGAACGCCTTTCGTCTCCGTCCAATCCCTCTCACCCCACCCTGCCCGACCTACCTACCTACATGTGCTTCGGAATCATCCTACGCGCCTTCGCAAACGGCTCACCCGCGGCTAAAATACCGGCCGACCATGTTGCTGG